GGTGTGGTTCCATGATGTAATGGTTAGCACTCCGGACTCTGAATCCAGCGATCCGAGTTCAAATCTCGGTGGAACCTTATTTTGTTTTTTGTTCATTCTTTTTAATTTTTCTAAAATTTTAAATTTTTTATTCATTAAAAATTTAAATTCTATTCAACTAACTATTGAATGGTTTCATTCCTCAAAGCATTCTTTTTTATTTATTCTTAAATAGAATAGTTTGAGGAATGAAAATTTCTTTTATAAGAAGAAAAGTAAGTAGATGAACGTTGGATAGAAGACATTTGTAAATAATATAGATAATGTACAACTTCAATTTGTTTACTAATGGAACAACAGATGAAAATTTAGAACAAGATCTATTATATTAAGATCTATCCTCAAATATATGTACGGTTGGTTTAGCAAAAAATAAAAAAAGGCAGTGACGACCATTATTGTGCAAAATATAAATATATGCCAAAAATCCACATCTTGAGGTTATTAATGACTGTGGGTGATCATTTGCCAAAATTAGATAATAAATACAAATCAGTGTAATGTAAAAATCACGATTGCAGTGGTAAAAACTCACAATTACTCAATAAATTTGCAGAGCATTTATGTTCATAAAGGATGATAAAATGTATTTCTTTTTTAATTTCCATGCCAAATAAAGTAAAAATTATCTATTTTGGTATATAAAAAAAACAGAAATATGGGGAAATCGTTTTTTATTGCTCATGTACCTACTGCTTCCTGGTGGGCAATTGACTGGCGCTCTGGCCTTTGGTGTTTCAGGTTCGAATCGTGGGGGTGATGGTGGCATAGATGTTTGTGAGTGGTTCGGAATCCACGTTATGTCCCGGTCTAATTAGCCTAAAATGTGCACAAAAGGACCTTAGAGCGACAAAAACCAAACCAAACCATGTACCTACTATTATAAAAAATTATTAAAATACTGTCTTTTGAAACTTATTTAGTGATATAGCTTCTTTATCTAGCTTAAAGAAATTGATATGTAAAACAAACTTTCAATCGAAGTTCAAGCGCTGAATGTTTGACTTTACAACCTCATTGACAGTTTGTCCATTCCAATGGACATATCTCGATTTCCTTCAAATTAATTTATTTTGTCTAATTTTTTACTTTAACATGTATATTAGCATCATATGATATTTTAACATAGTAATTAAGTTTTTTACTCACAGCATTAAAGTAAATTTTACTAATTAATTTAAGTTTGATATCAATACAAGTGGTGATGTTTGACTCAAAAAGTACATTTAAAATATGATATATTATCTATTTTGACTAGTAAATCTATTAATATTCACAATCTATTGAATATTTATTAAGCTCCTAAAGGTATTCAAATTTTTGTCACATGGTTATTACTTAACTTATTGCTGATCAATTAGTCTGTTATAATCTGTCAAACTCAATGGCACAACTTAAAATCAAACACCAGTGAAGTCTGAAAATGAGAATATTCACAGCCCCATTTTTTGCACAGTTAAATACCTTTCGCGTCAGATGCAGATCTTAACGTGAGCTGTCAACATAAAGATAGGACTGTTCGACTGATAAATGATCAATTATTTTTCGACCAATGAGGTGCCATCTATAGATCTCGAAATATTTTGAAGAGAGGGGAAAGTGCACACGAAAAGTCCATCCAAATCACATTTAGCGATGGTATCAGTTAACAGACGTGACGGAAAGAACAAAATGACCTCTGCGAAGCAATCTACAATCTTCTTCCTTAACAGCGATTCTAAATGTTTCTCTCCTATCTATACTTTTAAAAACATTATTTATTTTTTCAAAAGTCAAAATTTGCGTTATCATACATTCAAAATATCAAAATACACCTTTTGGGTTTGTAAATTGTTTAAAAATTACGTGTTATTATTATGTATTCAAAAATGCACATAAAATATTAATTAAGTATTAAATTTGTGTTTGTATGTGTATGTTCTTCATTAGTGTTTGCATAACACCCCATGGTGGACCAAAGCGGTCTACTTATTGGCAGATTTCAAGACAGGAGATGCTTTTTCTTTTTTACGGGTAAGGCTGTCAACCCAACTCTCTACAGTCATATTAGACCCTTTTAGGGCCAAATGGCCGAGTGGTTAGCGCTCTGTATACAGGTTTCGGGTTCGTATCCCTACTGTACCATGAATGTTTGTAGTGGTTCGAAATCAACATTAAGCCGTAGGTTCCTGTCTCATATGACTGCAGAGCGTCACAGAGCTAATCAGTCTTCTCACCCACATCATTCCCAAATTGTAAATGGTCAACTCAGCTCTAGACGCAGTGATGGAATATGGGGGGGGTAGTAGTAGACATATTAAACCAGGACCTACTGTTTAAAGTGGATTCCGAACCTCTACAAACATCCATGACACCGCAGTGACTCAAACCCTGTTGCACCAAGCGCCAGAGCACTGGTCACTCGGCCATTAAGCCCCTTGTATATGTATGTGTTTACATTTATTATGTTTCGAAAAAAAAAATAATATGAGGTAATTTTTCCTAAAATCTTTTTTTTTTTTCCACTTAATGCTTAGATAAAAATTGCAAAAATATTCTTGGTTGTATTTAAAATAGAAAGCTGATATAATGAACTGAAAATCATAATTTTTATAGTAAATATGAACTTTTAAATTATTTTCAAGAATCATCTGCGTGATAAAACGGAAATGGTTCTCTGATATGTTTACATTCGTGATATGTAATTCGTTCTTTATAGTTTCATTTATTTACTATTAAATTTTTATTCATTAAATTTTTTTCATGATTGTATTAAATGTATTTAATTATTTATAGTAGTAAACAAAAAATGGCGAATGGAGAATTAGAACAAACAAAAAAACACATACTAAGTTGTTGTTACTAATCCCCTGTTGCAGGAAAACCCACACCAGGTCCAATAGACCCCATCGCAGAAGACTGGTCCATGGCTAAGGGTAATATGCAGATTCACTTAACGAGGAACCACGAAAGCTGAAGACTGACTAAACCTCAAGACAACGCTCTACTATCATATTAGACAGGAACCTGCTTGTTTAAAGGGGGATTCCGAACAACTACAACACCATGGTACCGGCGGGATTCGAACCCGAAACCTGTGGCACCAAGAAACTTAATTGTTGTAAGGAATTAGATATTGTAACGGGGATAAGGAGAATTCAATGGATGGGCCTTGTAGAGAGAATGGAGTTAAATAGAACAGCAAAGAAGACTTCTTAAGGAAAACCCCAGCGGATCTGTGACCCAGTGGAAGATCAAGAATTAGATGGGGAGATCAACTGGAGGAGGACACTCGGTATTACTAACTGGAAAGAAAGGGCAACTAGTCATGTGGAAAGGCAAAAATCTTGAAGGTCTGGGCCCTTCAAGGGCTGTGGCTCCCAATGATGAGCCACCAGGTGCCAATTGGCTAGTGCTCTTGGTATTTGGTACCACAGGATTCAGGTTCGAATCGTGGCAGTGGCATGGGTGTTTGTGAGCAGTTCGAAACCGCGTTATACTGTAGGTCTCGGTCTAAATTAGTCTAAAGTGTGCACCAAATGACCGTAAAGCGACAAACCAATGAGGATGATAATGATGAATTTTTATTTTTATTAACTCTTTCATTTTATTTATTTTTATAGTGAAATTTAAAAATGTAAAAAGTAAAGGTTAAGTAATGTTAATGTTAAGTAAAGGTACGCAATGACTAGTTGCAATGATTCTATTTAGTTTGTTATATATTTTAAACAAAAATATATTTAAATAAATTGTACTATATTATCTGCTCATGCCGAGAAACGACAAATTATAATTGCTAGTATCATATCATTGTCATTACTTATCTTGGCACATGCACATAACAGCATATTTTTACAAAAGCAAACTTTTCATATTAATTTATCTAATCAAGCACTTTCCTTGCATGCTTTATGAGCATACAAATGGGAGAATTTACATTGAAAATCATATAAACTGAAATACTAAAATATTTACAGAAAAAATCATAACTCCCCATAAAGATATCTAAATTTATTCTCGGGCAATCCGCAGATAACTATTCAACTTACCATAAAAACACAACTTCGACAAATTGCGTTTTTCTACAAACACACAAAATTTTTTTTCTAAAGAGAGATGAAACTAAATGAGGCAATTCGAAATCCGCAAACGCTTTCCTTATTCCCTCATTTAAGATGCTGCCATCATTTTTCGGGGCGTTTATCCATCTCTTTCTTACAAAGAAAGACAAGTAAATCTTGATTACTTACGGCCAAAAGTTGGATTTTTTTTTGCTCTGAGTCAGATAAATGTCAATCTGGTAGTATTTTAGCCGGAAATTTTCTCATTAAGATGCTTTTGGTTGACGTCGCTGAACAGAAATTGCGACTTGTTTTAACCGAATTAGAAGAACGTTCCAGATAACGACCACACCTGTTCCGTAACTCCATAAGTGGATCGGAATTTAAACTTGATACTTGGGATAAGTGAAAAGAAAATTGATTGGCTGAATGTTTTGAACAGAAAGGTCCATGAAGGAAAAATTATATTGTCAATTTGCAACTAAAAGAAGTATTTCAGTTTACAAATTATTACGAAAAAATAAACGATGTTTACAAATTAACTATGTTTAAACTTACCAAAACATTTATGCATGTCGCAATGGAATTTGTTTTCACAGTAACACAGTATGGGATTTATTCAGGTTGTTATCGACAGCTTAGCTTTTATAGCAGCTTACATCTTTTATAACATCAACACATGTAATGTGATTAAATGCTGTTTACATGTTTCTAAAGTTCATTTTAATTTAATTTTGATCTTTTGACCACTATAGATACAATGAGACCTAGATGGAAGACATTGCTCACTGCTCGTATCTCCTCGTTGGAGAACATTTTGGTATTTCGGATAGACCTTGTGAAAAAAGCTGTCGCGGAATTTAGACACAACAACACATTTTTTAGGTGGGCCATGAGTGCCCAGGGGCCCATCTGCACCGC